TGCCGTGCATGCGCTTGTGGACATGTTTGCTTGCAATTCGGCTGACCGCCGCAGCCCATGTGACACATACAAATGGAAATGAATGGATGGAGGTGGCTGACAGGGCGTTGATCGGTCGATCTAGGCTGCTGCTTGGCTAGCTGACCGGTTCGTTGGTCGACTGCTTGCTGGCTTGCTTGCATCGTTAGCTGTCTGTTTGGCCAACGGGGCCGCCAGGGCTGGCTGACTGGCCAGCGTCTTGGATTGCGGGAAAAGTGTTACCGCCACCGCCACCGCCGCCGCCGCCGCCGCCGCCGCCGCCGCTGCCACTCAGCCGAAAAGTGTCCACTGCAGCGGAATGCATCCAAGATTTGTGCATTCTGCAAGTATGTACTTATATTGTACATATGTGCGCGAGTGTGTGTATGTTCTTGTCTTGTTTATTCTGAAGAATTGAACTTTTTGGGCAGCTACAAATTTATTGTTGTGATTTATTTTGATTTCATGGCATTTGCCAGGCACTTTGTCCACGAACTATTATTATAGACAGTTTGAGCGTGCGTGTGTGTATGCAAGTGTGTCTGCTTGTCCACTTGTCTGCTTATAGCAAATATTTCTTGCTACTTGTCTGGTCAGTTGCTGCCCAGCGACTTCGTATTCAAAAGGTATTCGCTGCCCATTAGTCATGGCGGCGCAAATTATAAATTGCATTTCGCTCCTCTAATCGGCATCGCTTATGAAATGTTTTTAAGCAAATAATGTCGCATTATGAAGGAGAGGGAATGTGCAGAAATGGAAAAATAAATAACTTCGCGTGCAGAAATCATTGAAAATGGTGTCAAAGAGGTGTAGGTAATTCGAAGGCAATTTATTTCAGAAAAAATTATTCATATAAAATTTGTATGCATTTCTTTTTTAATACAAATTTATATAAACTTTAGATTTCCACGCCAATATTTACAAATAAACGTGCGACCTTTGTACTATGAACAAACGATTAATATGACTATCGGAAAGGTCGCACACTGCGTATGAGTAATCCAAAAGAGGTGATTCACATGTTAAAGGCCGGTTGTCCAATGTCTGATTAGCACAAATCGGGGGTAGAAGCTCGGGTTAAGTCCAACGACTGCTTTATCGAGCACATGTAACATGCATGATGTCGAAATCGTCGATAGTGTAGTGGTAGTGATAACCAGACATTGAACAACCGGCCCTAAGTAGGCAAACCAAATTCAGATGAAAAAAGAACTTCTGTGAGTTTTTGTTGGCAGGCTTGACTGTTTTCGCTTCAGACTACTATTGACTAACAATAAATTTATCGATAACAAAGTTGATAAATATATATATCGGTAACGTTGTAGATAAATATTCCAATGACGATATTAATGAATTCACCGATAAATAAACAGCAGTATCGATAAGCATATCGATAACAAAATCGATAGGTATATATTGAAAACATATCGACCTCTTTGCGCGAAACTGTCGTTTTTTACCATTTTTTCGATATTTACTTTTTGACTCAAATTTGTTCTATACCCCACAATGCATCACCTGGAAAAATATAGTACCTACCTGAAATCCCTATAGTTACTCCAAAAATTAACTGTATATTTCACCGATGTTCCAATGAATTTTTTCTTGGGGGCGAAATTATCGTGTACGCCATACAAAAGTTTTCGTACTTAGTAAAAAGTAAATAAAATAAAAAACTTCTAAAAATTTTAAAAAGCAAAAAACGCTCCTGTAAATTTGGTTTCTGGCTTATACGACGATTACGAAGTTTACAGTTTTGTTTAAAATGCAGTTTTGTTCTTTGAGATTCACTAGTTTTATGAAAGCAAAGTATGGCAATACTTGAGCTCTTAAAATTTTTCATTTAAAATAAAAGTTATGATCCCGAAATTTTGACGAAGGAATACATGGATAACGGAACACAAATTCGATATACTAATCGATCCAATTTCGGTGATGGCAATACTAGGTCAGACGATTTAAACCTACGTACCAGAAAAGTCTGCTTCTGGCCACATTCTCAACCATATTTCCGGCGTAAGTCTTAGAATTTAAATCCTTAAAACTTTGTTGATCTAATTAGACAGGTATTAATCAAAAGATAACCATGCGGTCATGAGGGATCTATGACTGTGGTTCATCCAAAAATACACACAAGAGCTTCCAAAAAGCGGTAAGATTCTTAATAACGATTTTTAAAACATAAAAGCTGATTAAAGAGATATATAGGGAAGGACTACTTAATCTTAGCCGGAAAGGCATACGGATTATTAATGGGCCTCCCAACGCTGACACTGGAAATTAGGATACCATATCCTAGAAAGGTATGACCGTCTGTCGAGACGTACTGCAGGTTTTCCAGATTGGTGAAGGGTGCCCGAGACCTTAGATAAGGCCACTGAAGCCTTCATATTAGTTATTTTATTCATCTATGTTATTAATTATATACTCTAACAGCCATTAGCAAACAATTCGATAACTAAGTATTTCTATTTTTAAAAACTGAATGCTATACTTAAATGACTTTTATACAAATACGGAGGTACATATAAATATTGTAACTAAGTAAGTACACATGTTCGCAAACATATTTCACAAGAGTGAACATTAAACTAACAAATTTGTTCATTAAACAAAATGTCAACAACAAAAGAATTAACAAAGCAGTCTCACCAGCCACCGACATCGTCCAACGCAAGAGATTTATGCGGAAGCATTTTTTCTGCTGCATGGGCATATAACGCTGAAGATCTGATTCCCAGCCAAAACCGAAATAAATAGCAACGGCGCACAGTGAAAAAGTCGCCGCTGTAGTGGAAATAGTTATTACTGACAATACTAGTTGGGATGCGGGAAGAGCTGATCGAACCAGGTACCTAGTGCAGGCCAGACGTCCATAGGTCAATGTGGAGGCTGAGTTGTCGCTTGGTTTGAAAGAGATCGCTTTTATGAAGATGCTTATTACAAAGTGGATGACTCTAATTAAGGTTAAGTGAGTTGAGTGGGTGACGCACAGTGGGGCAAAAAAGGTTGCCGGGGACAAATCAATTTTGAGATCTATTCATGTCGATTTTTTAAAAAAGCTCTACTTATTTATTTATTTATGTTGAAAAATGAAAGAAATCAAAATTTTACGTTTAAATGCTTCCACTTTTTTGAAAAATACTTAAAATTAAAAAATGCCTGCAATTATTTAAAAAATTATTCAAAAACATTTTTCCGTAGGATAAATTTAATTAAAGATGTTTTCAATTGGTTATATATATATATATATATTGAAAGCCGTTTTTTTTCTGTTCGAAAAAACTCGGGAACAGCTATATCGTTATTTGTGAAACTTTAAACATGAACTCTACACCCTCCAAGGATGCAGCACTATTCGATTAATACTTCCAGAGATATGTTGTGTGAAAACTTCAGTTTGTATGGGAGGCGCCACGCCCCCTTGATATATCGAAATGATTTTTCTCGTTTTATTTTGTTGATCTTAAAATCGATTTGTCCACAGCAGCCTGAATGAGAATCAAAAATTTTGTACGCCCAAGTATGATAGACATTTTATTTTATTTTATTATATATTGTTTATAAATGAATTATATTTTTATAAATCATACATATGTTTTCAGTCATATAACTTGGTCAGAAATATTGTTCTTCAAAAAAAAAACATGCAAATCCAACGTATATATTAAAAAAAAATAATTTTTTGTACTTTTTATTATACTAATATTATAGATTTTGAGACGAGAAACACGATTCCACTGTTTAAAAAACGAAAAAAAAATGTCAACCCCTCAATTTGGAAAATGCATTATATATTGCATTTTTTTATGATTTGCATGTAGCTGTGCATCCAAGACCTTTATGCTATTCAAGACCTTTAATTTAAGTCAAGGTAGAAGCCTGAGAACTAGGAGATGATGTCAAACGCGCCAAGCAAACTCAATAGTGATGGAGAGGAGGGAAGGTGCGGCCAAGATGGTGCGCGTCCACCAAATTAACCTGCATCACTGCAAAACAGCATCAGCTGCAATGTTTCTCCAGCCCTCTTAAGGGGCTGAAGTCGGCAAAGCACACTATAATAAGTGGATACATATACTATAGGTAAGTACCAATCTAAAAATTTTGTTTCTACCTCAGTTCAGTGACGAGGACTCCACCACTGTCAAAATGGCGGTGAACGGACGACTAGTAAGGCTTGCCTCGATATATCTGGCACATGAAAGGCAAGTTGCCACTTCAACGGTCATATAGCTAGTCGAGCGCTGGAACTGGGCCCTGATATTAGGAGGTGATGTGAACGCACACCATAGCACATGGGAAGCGGAGACATCAACGAACGGGGTAAGTTACTCTTTGAGTTCATACTAAAATCTGACTTTGTTATAAGCAGTAGGGGTAGCGCGCCTACCTTTCTTCTCTGATCANTCGTGATAAGCGGTTCTACCACACTATGAATTGCAAGTAAATCGAAGGGCCTGGTAAAACACTTTACTGCGGCATGTAACAAGACTATATGATAAAGCCGATAGGCAAAAAGAAAACACCTTGGTGCAGTTCAAAGACTAACGGAAATAACCATAGCCGTAGGAATAATAATAGCCATGCTGAACGTGACGAGGCCCACGAATCCTGTCGTAGGGACTTCAGTATCGCGGGAGGCGATACGCAATGGGAAATATAAAACTTAAACTTAAAGGATTACAAGAAATTATTAAGGAAAAGCAAAAGATCCTCATGGAAGGATGCAGTGTTATGGAATCTATATCAGAAGGTTTTAGGCTCAGGAAGGATCCCTCTAATTCCCCTCGTATCGCCCCGGGATGCTTGCTAAGATCCGACGGAGCGCGGACGGAAACTGGGAAGGAATCACTGGGCCATCGTCTGCGCACGCATTTTCGGACCAATCAGAGATAGAGGTCAACCGGAATTTTTTAATTGTTTTGAAAATCTTTTCATACTTTCGTGCGTAACGGAAATAACCATAGCCGTAGGAATAATAATAGCCATGCTGAACGTAAAAAACAAAGCGCGTTTATTCAAATAAATAGTTATCTTAAAACTAAATAATAAGAGCGAAAAACTACTTAAAACTTAAAAGCCTGTACCTCCGATATCCTATAGCACTGTGCTTGCTTGAATGGCACACACTTCTCCAGCAGAAAATCCCAACCATAACCAAAGCTGCAGCGTAAAATACTCAAGTAGCCACGCGAACATCTATAATAGTACTCACAACGTAGTTGATAGGGAAAATACTCATCCACCGCGGGCTGGCAGTGTGGACGATGCGGCACTGTTGTTGATGGCAGCGTATCGACGATCGTTGCGACTGTTACATGTGTTGTTGCTGCGATATTACTAGGTGTTGTACTAGCTGCATTATAATTTGGTGATGCTAATGTTGTTGACTGCTGTTGCACAGATGCGCTCTGTTGCCCCGCGCCTTCAGCGTTTTCCGCAATATATTCGACGCATTTGAAGGAAACATCATCTGTGCACTGTTGCTGTTGTGGATCAAAATATGTGCCAACTGGACATAAATCTGTGAAGGAGTTTTCGCCCATGCAGTAAATGTAGCCGAGACAATTGTTTTCAATGGCTACGAAATTGCCATCGGCTGAATGTTTGCACTCCTTGAAATGTTCAGCAAGTGTTTCTCTAGTGCAAAGACAAAGTAAAACCAATTTTCCAAATGTGGCATGCATATTTGGAAGGCTTTAAATGATTCTTTAATTAATATAATTTTACGAACTTGTGGCTGACTGCTTTCTGATGTCTTCAAAGCATTTTTAGCGCTTATATCTAGAGGAATTGAAGGTCACTGGTAAAATTCGATAGTTGAGATCTCTTATCTATTTTCAATGTCGTTCATTGGCAAATAAACTATCTATGCGTACCAATGGATGTTGCTATTTTGAACTTCGATTGACTGATATGGCATATTTCCGATAAGAGGCTTTGAACCTACAAAAGTTGAGTTAAACAAATTTAGGTAAAGGCCAATAATAACAGTAAGCAAAACAATTGTAAACATTTACTAAGAAAAAATAATTTGGTGCTTCTAACTGGTAAGAGCGATAAATTGATACCCCCGAAAGCACTTTCGTGTATTCAGTTCTTAAGGCTGAACACATATCGGAGACGTTTTTGCCTTTGCAAACTTTTTGCATAGGTATGCTTTTATTGAACAAGATTATATTTAAACTAATGTACAATAAAACTGCAAAGATAAATTAATTATACGCTAAAAATATAGTATGTATAAAACCGCTTTAGACCTGCAGCATTGGACGCTTTTCCTTTGCATCTAAATTGTCATTGGTCGTAGCGTAACCGGTGCCGCCCTGTGAAAGAACCAAATAACTTAAATCAATGCCTTTTTGTAATTATTGTCACCGAACGTACCCTCTGCAATGGTATAACATCCTTTTCAGTGAGTTTTTGATTTGTCAAAGGGTGTATCATATCTTTTTTAATTAATTTCTCTACACACTCCATAGTTACTACATCGCCGCTGCAAATAAAACATAAATTAGCTCCGTATTATTTCGCAAAACCATTCAAGCTCACGTTGGCCGTAACACCGCACATGGCACAGCATTGCTGAGCACATCGTGCGTTACAGGACACATATAACGTGCCTCCTTCGCTATTAGTGAACGGCTGTTATCACCGTCTTTGAGTAATGTAAATTTTATATCAATCAAATCTTTCACTTTTAGAGGCTTCCCGGATACAGGGCAATAAATCGTGGACTCAGGTTTTTTTGCTTTCGCAGCGCCAGCATTTGGACATTCTGAAGGTACCCAAAAACTGGGCAACTTTTTTTCATTCCCATTAGTCATATTGGAGATAGATCCACCAGCAGCGGCTATGGCGGCCGCTGATGTGCTGGGAGTGACAGCCTCAACAGGAGCCGATTTGGAGCCACTTGCATTCTCATTGACTGGTTTTCCGGCATTTACAAACTTTTCAATACATTTCTGTTGCTTGAGGTTCAATTCTTGTGCATTTTCAGTTTCTTCTAAGCGCCGAAGACGTTCATACTCCTTCAGTTTCCGGCTGTATTCATTTTTCTTGGTGATAACATATTGCAAAATGGCTTCCTTATCGAAAAGGTAGCCGTCCTTTGTTACCACCGGATTACGACATGGTTGCAAAGTCAGAGAACAACAATCGAACGATTTTACTGAATCCTTTCCAAGACGTTGGGCTTTGGTTCCATAGCCTGATTCGGCGGCATCGCGACGCTTTTCATTGTAGGTGTATACAGCTCCGGCCGTGCAATTGCGTGCATGTCGAGTCATTTTAATGATTTAATTGTGAACCAGCTTTTTTAAATAACAAAACACAAAACAAGAATCAATATTTTCTAAAGTTTATTCCGAGATGCAGAAAATAGTGGAAGCGCATAAAAACAAAATAAAGAACGTAATTATAATTTACGTTCTGAGAACTAGAAGAAACAGGGCTGCCAAATCA